CGTACCTCCACTCCCCCATTAAGAAAAGCAGAGTTTGCAGTTGAGTAGCCTTCTCAGTCTGGTTCCTGCCTATAAAGTAGTAGGGGTCCAAAATCCTATTCTTGGTATTTACCTGTCCATTTTAGTCGCAATTGTCAGTGGTTCTACCAGAATAATTCTCTTAAACACATTGGGTGTTTGGGTGTATTTGAATGCATCGCTTTATTATCCTACTTCTTCAGGCTAAGCCCTTCTCTACCTTGGGTTCAGTGGACGCTGTTGTGGTACGATAGCCTTAAGATTCTTGAAGTCTCAATTACTTAACTGAGAGGCTCTACAGGCATGCTCTGGAGATCCTTCAAAAGCTTTTGGTCTGATTGAAAGGTTCTATGAGGTACCACATTAGATCTTTCTGAAAATCTTAATAAAGAATTTCACCACCATGCCCTCAGTTTCATTTTTAGATGCTGTTTTCCTGCACTGGATTTCATCTCTGCCCAGAAGCTACTTTTAATTTTAGAATCATTTGCTGTCTAGAGAGGTTGGGAATAAGAAATCATTTTATTTTCAAACCCAGCAGTCTTGGCTTCTCTATATTTAACAGTTCACTCTTTAGCTTATCTCTTTCCTTGTGCATTTCATCATAGGCAGTGAGAAGAAGCCATGTGGCAATTTCAGTGTTGCCTGAAAAAGCTAGATCTTTGAGTGCATTAGGTACATTTCCCATTTTTCACATGATCACAGGTGACGGTGGCGCAAAACTTTGCATCACTACGTAACAAGTACAGCCTTTTCTCCTGCTTCCAGTGACATTTCTCTGTTTGCTTGAGTCTTCACAGACAGCCTCCTTGAGGCCCTCTAGGCTTTCACTAACGCTTTCGTGGAGGTTTTTTAGGTTTTCACTAACAGTCCTTCAATGTTCTTCCCCTTTCTGCTCACCACCTGATCCCAAGGACCATACTACATGTTTTAGGATTTTGTTATAGATGCCAGAATGTTTCTTAATTATCTAATGTCACACAAAAAAATCACCCCAAGGCATAGGGGCTTTAAACAACAACAGTCTGTTCACTAGTATCTCTTATGATTCTAGGATAGACTGACTCAGTTAGGCAGTTCTCACTTGACCTCAGTCTGTGGTAGCAGTCAGATGGTGGCTGGGACTGGGGCTGGGCCTCAGCTCAGGGTATTTTTGTGGCCATGTTGGAAAATACAAGCTGACACAATAGTGTATCAGAATAATTTAAATTTTAAGTCCTATACAGAAACCCTCAATGGTTAATTACAACAGAAGGAAAAAAAGAACCTTCTGAAAGTATATTGTGTAAATTTAGTATGGAATGTAACAAAAACCAGACTCAGATAATGTGAACAAAAGTCAGTAGAAGGCAATGACAGGGTTGCACTGGGTGAAGGATGAAAGAGAAGGATAGCATCATCAGAGGAGTGGAATCTACCTCGGCTCTTACCTTGAAATATGGAGGTTATGGGAGAATGTGCCCACCTTGGTGTGTATTAGTAACTTCATGATTCCCGGCATTTGATTTTGCTGATTATTTTATAGTAATAACCACCCTATCAGCTTCCACTATTGAAACCCACTCATCTTTAAAGAGGCAGCTCAAATGCCAGTATTCCATAATGCTTTGCTGTTTACCAATTAGAATTGCTTTCTCTCTCCCCTAATTCATAGACCACTGTTTCCTTCCCTTATGAAACTTACTGCACAATGTTTAGCATTAAAGTATGTGTTAACCTGCCTTATCAACCTAACCAGGTTTAAGTTCCTTGAGGCCAAAGGCCTTGGCTTAGTTTCTTTATATCCCTAAAGTATTTCAGAGCAACAGGTGCTCAGACATATCTGTTGAATTAATAAGGTTGGGTGCCAAGTTAGAAATTATAAAAATAGCTTGGTGGTAAAGTTCTACATGAACATTTCCTTTTCATTGCTTGAAAAACAAACATATAGATCAGCGGTTCTCAACCTGTGGATCGCGAACCCTTTGGGGGTCGAACAACCCTTTCACAGGGGTCGCCTAAGACCATCGGAAAACACATATATAATTACATATTGTTTTGTGATTAATCACTATGCTTTAATTATGTTCAATTTGTAACAATGAAATTGGGGGTCACCACAACAGGAGGAACTGTATTAAAGGGTGGCGACATTAGGAAAGTTGAGAACCACTGATATAGATCATTTTCTTGCCTTAATGTGTCATTAATTAAAAGCTTTCAGAAGAACAGTCATATGCAAAAGCTGTTTTTAAATTTAAAAATAATTTTATTTGAGATTAATGATTGATATTACCTCAGAATATTGAATGAGATGAAATAGCAAAATCTCTCCAAATAATTACTGTTCCTGATCTATAATTTTAACCAATGAGTTAAAGTGAACTTTTGTTTTCATTATTACTTAAGTGCTTTCAGTAGATTACAAATAGCTTTGCTGTTAGATCAAATAGATTTTTTCTTTAGTTAAATGTGGACATGCTTATAAATTTTAGATTAATTAAATTCTTATGGATGAGAACCTTTATTTTTACTTTTATGCTTCCATTTTAATGTTCAGTGAAGATAGAAAAGTGAACTTGTGCAAAATCAGATTTCAACAAAGTAAAAGTTTATGTACAATGGAAGCTTATAAATTTGGAAATAATTTTTATGAGTGTGGTTTCAAGAATTATACACTGGAAACCTAATAATTTTATTAACCAATGTCACCCCAATAGATTTAATATAAATAAATAAATACATACATACATACATAAATAAATAAAAATGGTATCAGGTTTGAAGCAGAATTATGGTGTTATAAAAATGTCAGAACTAGAAAAAAAAAGGATGTGGTAGCCAGCCTTGCAGTGGTTCTCAACCT